ATTTGCTATGTTCATGTTCACAGCCACTAGAGACATAAATTTGAGTGAAAAGCACACAAGTGTGTCTTCCTAGGATATGCCTCTACATAGAAGGGATATTGTTGTTTTGATCCAGTCCGTGGCACCCGATTTGTTTATAGGAATATCACATTTGCAGAGTCTATCCTTTTCTTTGGCACTTCTCCTGAGGGGGAGCATTCAGAGGAATTGTTTTCTCTGTCCCCAGTTGTTCCTCTTCCAGTTCCTCTTGACTCCTCTGTTGAGTCTACTTTTTGTTGGTTCTCCTCCCATTGAGTCTCCTTCACGTGTTCCAACTCCCCTCCTCCTCATGTTCATCCTTCCACATTCATTTCTCATCCTATTCTCCAAAGGTGGTACCAAAGACAAAGACTCAAGTATGAACAAGTTGTTTCCCCTCCTTTAGTTGAGTCTCTGCCACCTCCCATTACTCTTGAGGTAATAGGTCAGCCCTCCTCTACCCCTTCTGATACCTTCCCAAACCTTGATTTTCCTATTGCCCTTCGCAAAGGCAAACGGAAGTGTACAGTTCATTGCATCTCCAAACACCTGACCTATAGCCTTCTTTCTCAACCTATTATTCCTTTCTTGCCTCTATTTCTACATATGTAGTCCCTAGGTCTATCCTAGAAGCTTTATCTAAACATGAATGGAGGGATGCTATGGTGACTAGACTAGATGCTTTGCATAAGAACAATACCTGGGATATTGTGGACTTGCCTAAGGGGAAGGAACCAATTGGTTGTAAATGTGTGTTCACTATCAAGTATCATTCTAATGGTACTATTAAGAGGTTCAAAACTCGGTTGGTTACTAAAGTTTGAGTTTTTCTATCTTTGGCTACTATTTTTGATTGGCCACTTCATCAATTTGATGTTAAAAATACCTTCTTGAATGGATACTTACGTGAAGAAGTTTATGTCTCTACCTCTAGGGGTGTATGGGAAGGAAATGCAAGGCAACATGTATAAATTAAGGAAGTCTCTTTATGGCCTTAAATAGTCTCTTAGAGCAAGGTAAGGTGTATAAATTCAGGGCTGCCCTTGTTGCCTTTGGTTACACACAAGCTCAGTCTGGTCATATTTTATTTGTTAAGAGGAGAGATTCCTTGGTGACCTTTTTGATTGTTTATGTTGATGACATTGTGGTTGCTAGTGATGATACTCAGGAAATGGCTAACCTCAAAAGGTTTTTTAACACTGAATTTGAAATTAAAGACTTGGGTGAACTTAGATATTTCCTAGGCATTGAAGTTGCTCAGTCTAAGGATGGTATTTACATTTCTCAATGCAAGTATGTCCTTGATCTACTTGTAGAAATTGGCAAACTTGGTGCTAAACTAGCTTCCACTCCTATAGATTTGAATCACAAGCTCTCAGCTACTGATGGTGAATTGTTGACTAATAGGGTAGTGTTTCAAAGATTGCTTGGGAAGTTGTTATGGCAAATATTTCCTATGCACTGAGTATCATTAGATAGTTCATACATTCCCCCAGAGATACACATTTAGTAACTGTAGAGAGGCTTTTGTATTATCTGAAAGATACTCTAGGGAAGGGTGTCTTGTTTGCCAAGCATGGACACATGACGTTGGAAGCATACATTGATGCTGACTAGGCTGGATGTATTGATGATAGGAGATCCACCTCAAGATACTGTGTTATGGTGGCAGGGAACATTGTTTCATGGAGAAGTAAGAAGCAGTCTATAGTGGCTAGATCCTCAGTTGAGGCAGAGTACAAGGCAATGACACATGGAGTTTTAGAACTATTATGGCTTAGATCACTTTTGGGAGAATTGGGTATTGATTGTGAAAAGCCAATGATGCTATGTTGCGATAACCATGCAGCTATCAACATTGTACATATCCGGTCCAGCATGATAGGACTAAGCACATAGAGGTTGATAGACATTTTATACGGGAGAGAGTTGCTTCATTGGTCTGTTTGCCATTTATTGCTTTTGAAGAACAACTGGTTGATGTTTTGACAAAAGGTGTTCTAAAAGGGAAGTTGATACATTATATAAGTTGGTAATGATTGATATCTATGCTTAGATTGAGGGGGAGTGTAAAGAGATTGGGCCAAATGGGCCCAAGTGATTTATATTTTGTTATTATTGTTTCTTACTTGTGCTTGGTTGATAATGGGCCTACTAATCCTTTTTTGTTTCTTTTGAGTATCATTCTGAGCTGGCCGCCCACTTAAGGGAAGAATTATAACTATCTATAATTAAGTGGGATTAATAAATGTTTAGAGAGTAAGGAGAGAAGACATTGAACTTTTTTCTCCTTCCCCCTTCTTCCCCATCTTCTTCTTTTTTTTTTCTTGCTGTTCCTCTTCTATCTTCTCCTGTTTTCCTTGCTGAAAACTGAGATTATTTGCAAGTTTATTGGACTGAATCACATCTCTATATAACAATAACTGAAATTCTTGTACTAATGTGACATCTGGTCAGACACTATATGCACCTGATTTGAAAGCAGATCCTGCATGAACTTTTTGTACATTATAGCATAGGCAGTTCTAGAAGAAAAATATGTAAATGGTATTGCCTAAAAATTCATACTATTAAATGTGAGCAAGGATTAGCTGAACACAATGGCTATTCAGTGGGCTGTGGAACCAATGATAATGTTCCATGCCAGTAATAAAATACTTGGGACTTGCACCTTTCACAGTGGGGCCCATGAATTTATTACTGGCATGGAACATTATCATTGGTTCCACAGCCCGCTGAATAGCTATCACGTTCTGCTAATCCGAATTCATTAAATGTTAGGACAAAAAGTATGGAATTTTGGTGGTTTACAAGGTAATGGTGAGCTCAGTAACATGTTATCCATGAGTGCATAGAAAGTCACAGGTGGCATTTAAATAGGATTGTGTTTGTTTCTTTGTAGATATTAGCAATAGTTAATATCAACAATATTTTATTAAATAAGAGTTTTAAATGTTAAATTATGAATTCTAAACTATATTTTATTAATTTATGAATAATTAAAAAATATTTTATGAAGGAAAATAAGAAGGAAGGAATCATCTATATTCTACAATGATAAAGTCAAATGTAAAACAGGTTTAAATGTTGAGATGGTTATATAAATGTATGGAGGATATTTGGGTATTTCCCTTGTATTGGACTTGTAGGGTATTATTCATGTTATTGTATTTTTGTATTGGCAGTTATGTCATTCATGCTATTTTCTCATAATGAATAAAATATTGGAAAAGAGGGTTGTGGTACATATATGCCCAACCCTTCCCTTTTCTCTATTTCTTGTTTTTTTTTTTCTTCACTCTCAAACCCTAAACAAATAGTCTAATTATCCTTAAGTAATCAACTTGGTATTAGAGCAACATCCAATCAAACTGAAGTTCTATTGTTGGATGGCATATTGATGTTGTCCATACAGATTGGTTGTGTCAACCATTGTACCTGGTGCCCACCCAAGGTATGACACATTATACTAGGTGATAGTGTGTGATTTACAGAGTTTTTTTATCATTTTTCTATGAAAGTCTCATATGCAACAAATGAAGATTAGTACTTTTTCAATAATTTTTCTAAGAAATGGCAGGAAATCGTTTTGGCAATTAGACAGCCCTAAATCTCAATTGGAGTGGATTTTTTTTTTTTTTTTAATGAGGATTGGTTTGTTTATCCCCTAGCATATTTTTCTACAACCCAGAATTGGTTTGGTATTTTTTGGAGTGGCAGAAAATTTTCTGTGACATTTTCTTCCTCACCTATTTATCATCCAACTGGTTTTTCTCCTCTTTTGGACTTTCTTTGCACCAGCCTCCCAGGATTGGTTGGATGTATGGTGGTTGTGTTTTCCATCTGGTGAGGGTTTAACTGAATTTGTTTATGGCATTGGTGGGTTTTCCACTTTTTTTCTCTTTCCATACAAGTATTTTGGAGGTATTCTATATTTTGGTTGTTTATGGAAATTGTTTCTATTGATCGGCTGATTAGTTGATTTCCTGGACTTGGTTTGGCAGACCCTGTGATTATTTTTTTATCAGTTTCAGTGACTGTAATCAGTTAATATCCTTTACCGTGCTTGGAGCTGTGTGTTCTAAAGTTGTCTTCCTAGGATGTTTCTAGAAGTGTCAACACTATCATCAACATTGGAGAATACTCAGATTCTGTTTATTGGTTGTGAAGCATGATGAAACAATTATCTTGAGTGGTCTTAGTTGGTTAAGATGTTTTTTGATAGTAAAAATGTAAAATTGAAATTTAATTAAAAGAAAAAAATATATTACAAGAAAATGACCAGAATGCACAAGAAAGAAAGAAAAAAGCACCACTTTACCACCAACAAATCAACTCCAAACCGTTTAAATGCAATGTACTTGGTTGGGCACTTATGACTACTTGATAGTTTTCTAAAGTTTGTCTTAAGTATCTGATATTTCCATAGGTTTTGTATTTTATAATGTTCCTGTGGACTTCCACAATTCCCACCAATTAACTCTACCCCCATGGGTTCCTTTCCATGCTTATTCCAATGTTTTAAATTTTCTATTATCTCTATTATCCTGCTTTTCATTTCTTCTTATTTTATTTCATTGATATGGCTGCAAATTTTTCTGTGTATATTTACCAAGTGTTGGAGCATCATCATGTTATTTTACTAGTAATTCTAACTTAAGATTTATAAATTATTTTCAAGCAGATGTCGATATTCTTATCTTAATAGGGTACCTGGAATTTTTATTTTATTTTGTTTTATTTATTTCGATCAGAAATAAAGAAAGGAACTCATTCATTAATAAATTAAAAGAGTTACAACAAGAGGTTGTGGATACAAAAGAAAAGAAATACACTACAATCTCAACCCACCACCCTTTTTACAATTGATCCTGAAATTTCTCTATCTTTAGAATTTATTTTGAAAACCTTATCATTTGGGCAATCTTGAAATATGGACCAGATTTTTGGTCTTCTTTAATGCTTTTTGTTTTCTATGATAGGTAAATAATGCAGAAAGAGGGTTCAGTATTCTCAATGATGGACCTCTGGATATGCGGATGAACTTTCAGGTGACAACTCCTGTCCTGTAACTGTATTTATCTTCTTTCTCAAAATGTTAACAAATGGTGGAGAAGCATCTCTAAAATATTTACAACTATGACATAATATAGTTTTTAAAGTTTTCTAGAAATATAAATTTAGTGCTGTTGACATTTAATATATTTTTGATCAGCAAAGAAAGAAATTCATTAATTAATTAAAACATAGTACAACTGTTGGAACATTCCACCAGTCTTAGATACAATAGATTACAGTTTTGCCTAAAGTAGATCTATCAACTCCTTGTTTTGCTAATACAGCTGTCATCCCTTATGCAGATTCTTCTCACCTAGATGAATGAAGAATTAAACCTCTTTGCTAGGAGGTCATTTCCCTGAAAGCATGTCTTCCAAGGTGCCAAAGTGACTTGCTTGGTCCAGGAAATGACTAGTTTGTGAATCTCTTTCTCAACTTCCAAGTCTCTAACATCCAGCTGTTTTGCTAGTCTCAAGACTCGTAAGTTGTAACAGGGCCATTATTTCAGCCTTAAATAAGTTGGTAACGGATCCGGATCCCGTCCACTCGCCTTGATCTGATCCAAAACCACACCTGCCAGAAGATCCAAAAAAGATCCTTCGTCTTTCTCTTCCAAACTATTTAAATTTTGAAAAGATGCTGACCTCATCCTCGAGCTAGACCAGACCGCCTTTTTACCCTGATTGTCCGATCTGAGGTCCATCCTACAGCTCTGAAGCTTTCTTCCTTTTCCTTCCCCTGACCAGCTTCCACCCATCTTCTTCCTCATCTCCAGTGCCGGTCTGTGCACCAAGCACTTCCAGAGTGGCCAGGAACTCCTCTGACAACTAACCATCGGCTCCGGTTCTTTTCTGACTGCCTTTGAGGTCTTCCTCAATGGAAAACCCGACCAAAGCTTGTTGTATTGTTCTTGGCTTAACCTGCACTGCTTCGGCAAAATTGGCCGGAACAGACATCCTTTCCGGCTTTATCTCTGGCCAAATGGTGATCACATACATTGCGCTCCTGGCCACTTACATTGACTGTCAGAGGGGGTGGGGGGAACACCACTTGATACGAAAGAACTCAACACTGCCCTTGTCAGCATCTGCATTCTCTGCTTCCAGAAAATCTCTGCAAAGGTCCCCTATTCCTCTGGCAAGTTTGTTACTCCAGAGGTGTAAAGGTAGCCCATATACTCTTACCCACACAGAACCAGGTAAGTCCTTGGGGGATTTCCTGGTTCCAGTCAAATCCGTCCAAGGTTCTAGGTGCAGTAGCACTCCTTTGAAACACATAGAGCCAGAGTTTACCACTCTTCTGGCGTCTTCCGAAGAAGGGAGAAGAAAGAGCCAGAAGTCGTTGTCAAGCCTTCTCACCTCCATCCTTTTTGAACATCCCCATGTTTTTGAAGCCCACTGACGTACTTCCTCCACCCTTAAATCTTTTTGGTCGAAACATCCAACTAGGCATGCTTCAAAAAAATTCTTCCGCCTTTCTACACCTCTAGCTTTGACCTCCAGGAAAAGGTGTCAATGATTAGCTTTGGTACACACCTTCCCTTCTGATAGCCAAGTCACCTGGGAACCTTTCTGTCAGCAGAAAAAGGGTTCCTCTTCTATCACCCAACCAGTCCCCTCTCTTCTCTTGCAAGAAACCTTTTTGGTCTCTGTTTGTAGAACCTAGACCATGTCTTTTGCTGCCGAAAGGGGCCAATACGTCTTAGTTATTGGGCCCTGTTGGAATAATGTTAAAATAACTTAGTTGCAGATGTTAGGGCCTGTTTGGCTAATTAAAGTGTTTTTTTATTTCGTTTTTTTATTTCTGTTATGTCTGTTATTGTACTCAGGG